CTGATTAAACAGTGATGAATTTTTGTAGTGATGAATTTCGGAACTGCAGGGTAGAATTGCACGAATAAGGAAGTGCGTATGTGTGCGTATTTGTTCGAGAAGACGATTTTCGTCCAGAAATCATTTCTGGACTAAGAAACTAATTGTGTGTCAAAAGAACTTCTATGATTGAACAGGATGATTATTTAAATTGCATTTATGTACATATATGTATATGGCAATGAAGCTTGATGTAAAACTTTTTTATATACCTTAAAAATTAATATCTGCATATTTAATTCATAGTTTCGTTTTACATATTTAAATTAAAGCTAAAAACAAAACTTTTAAATCAAAACATATAAAACTGCTTTATTAAATTTAAAAAAATTTTAATAAAGTTTAATAGATTTGAATATAATATGATTGTTAAACAAAAACAAAGCGAACTATATTTAAATTGAATATATTTTAATGATATTTAATTAAATATATTTCACTTTATTTTTTAATCCATGGCTAACTTTAAAATGGAAATATTAAATTTAATTTTTATTCGAATGTATTAAACTTTGATTTAATGACTTAAAATATTTTAAGTAAATATGAATAACATCATATCTAATATTATCAATCTGCATTTAAATCTATTCTTATTTAGTCAAGCAGTTTTATTTGTTTTGTGTTAAAAGGTATGTTTTTATACCCTTGCAGAGGGTATTATAATTTCAGTCAAAAGTTTGCAACGCAGTGAAGGAGACATTTCCGACCCTAAAAAGTATATATATTCTTGATCAGCGTCACCAGGAGAGTCGATCTAGCCATGTCCGTCTGTCCGACTGTCCGTCCGTCCGTCCGTTTCTACGCAAACTAGTCCCTCAGTTTTAAAGCTATCTGCTTGAAACTTTCCCAAAAGTTGTCTTTCTATTGCAGGTAGTATATAAGTCGGAACGAGCCAGATCGGGCCACTATATCATATAGCTGCCATAAACCTGAACGATCGGAAATGCCATAACTTTGGTGTTTTTAAAGTTAGGAAATTGAGATTTTCTGTCGGTTTTATTTTTGGCTAACCAGTCTGACGTACCAAATTTCATAAGGATCGGACGACTATATCCTATAGCCGCCATATAACTGATTAATCGGAAAGGCCATAACTTTGGTGTTTTTAAAGTTAGGAAGTTGGGATTTTTTATGAGTATTAAGAATGCATCATATGAATAACCGATCCGATTTTGGAGAATATAATTTACAGAATATTCTGCAAGGGTATATCAACTTCGGCTCCGCCCGAAGTTAGCTTTCCTTTCTTGTTATAATTAATTTAAATATATAAAACGAAACATTTAATTTGATACTTAAATTATTTAATTAATTTAATAGAATATTTAACTTATTAACTATTTTAATTATTTAGTATATTTAATAAAAAAAATAGTTAATATACAAATACATATATAAATATTTATTACTTATTTTTACAGGGTAGGTTTAATTTTCCAAATTTAGCTTCCTTAGGAGTATATTTAAATAAAATACAAGTACATTTTATGTAAGTTATACATTTTTAGAATTTCGTAATTAAAATAAAACTAGCTTTAATGATTTTTTGTCTTTTAAATTTGATTTGAAAAGCGCGCGCCTATGTTTAGAAAGAAAAGCGCGCAAACCTTTTTTGTTTCCCCTTTGGGTTTCTCTTTTTTCTAAATAATTAAAATAGTTAATTTACAAATATTTATATAAATTTAATTTATATTATGATAATAATTTTATATAATGTTATTATAATACGTATAATATAAAAATACCACATATTTTTTAATCCATATATTTAAAATACAATAAATATAAAAATATTCATCCTGTTCAATCGCAAAATTTCTGATGCTCCTAAAAATCGTTCACACGTCGCATGCTGAATACCCTAATGACAATTATTCCAATGTGAAGTCATGTATGAAATAAATTATGTTTTTTTTTATACTTAGATATATTTGGTCATTACTAAAAAATATTATACATTCGAATAATTAGTAAATAAAGTAAATATAAAGGCAATACAAAATAAGTATTTTTAATAATGTTATAAATTTAAAATAAAGAGTATATTTCGACAGCGCGCTGCAGCGGATTTCTTCGCTTGTGAATACACATGTATACATTCGTCGGCTGTCGCAGTATGCGTGCAAAAGAGCGGCTGGTCTTAGAGCGCTCTCTCTCTGGCTTTTGGGCAGAGAGCGAAAAGCCAGCACAAAAAATTCGTGTGCAAAAAAATCGTATGGCGTTACGCATCTTAGAGTTTATATTGGTCTTTGGTATTACCTTACCTTGTGATACATTTAACTTTATTTGCATTATCAGCCTCTGGCCGAACAGTCCCAATTCCTATTGTTGAAATCCTTCTTTGGATTTCGCCGGATTTGCTTTAAAAAATTATAGATGAATTGGCTTTCGACGAATCAATCAGCATCTGGCTAACTACCTTTTCTTCCTGTCCAAGGATCTGTCGGCTCGAATCTGGCTTGCGCACCCACCGTTTTGTTCCTACTCCTGACAGGATACGCTGCCCAAGCTCTACATGACACTGTAGGCCAGGAAGCAAAGGTGCCGGTGGCACGATTTTGGACGGGACTTTCGACTTTCTCCACTGGCAACATACCAAAATTACATTCATTACTTTTCGATTTTTTTTTTTACCATCTGTTAACTTGAAAACAGCCAATTTTTTTCTGGCGAAGCTTAAAATAGGAGCTAACTATACATGAAGATGTTTTAGTCGAAAGACTCGTTGTGGGCATGGCACCGTTCCATAAATTCTATGTTAGTGACGTAGTTATTATCAGATGTGGAAAACATCCGTACCTTTGTTAAAGTGTAATAGTTGAAGTCAAAGAGTGCCTCAATGAGCACGCAGCGGAACTTCTGAAAGACTTGATGTCGGGTGTAACCGTATAATTGTTGTAACCGTTAAACACGATTCAGGAAACTTTGAACCGTCACACTCCGACTGGTTTCTTTAAATTAAATTTTCCATTTGTATAATCGAACACCCTTGGAGAATGAAACTCGAAATGGACGGATTTGGTCTATATTAAGTAGTATCTGGTGGCTCATCATAGCATAGGATATTCCTGTCTTAAAGATTGTGCAAACGGTGCCATTTACGTTTTCAATGCCGCAATCGTTGCTGATTTCAGGTTATTGTTCTGTGCCGTGATCCGTTTTTGACTTGCGCTGCTTGCGGATGCGGGCTGTTTCTGCGTTCTCACTTAGATGTTGTTCTATTCAATTAATGCCTTAAGGGGGTATATACCTTTTTTTGTTGAAAAAAATAGGAAAGTTTGGATTTTTTTATGTATGTAACTATTGTTTTTATTAAATGAATGATTTTATTTTCTGAATGTTTAGATTGTTGACAATGTTTATGCAAAAATTTTTGAAAAAATATTTAATAGTTTTTAAGGTGTGGCTGTTTCCCTTAAACGCCTTTTTTTAAAGAGCCTTGCGGTGATATTTCCCCAGGACGAATGGGTCAACTGATACCGAAAAAATAAAAATATTTCATTAGTTTAAAGTAGTATCCTGTACTTGAACGAACGTTTTTTAAAATTTTTTTTTTTTTGTGCATACGGGAACGTTTAATGCAAAAAATGACGTTTTTGGACACAAAAATTCTTACAAAACTATCTATTTCGGCGAAATAAAAATTTTTACATGAAAAAACGATCGTTCAAGTACTAATAAAATTCATTACGAACATTTAAAAAAAAATTTGAAGAAAATCGGTTCAGTAGTTTTTTGCTAATCCATATCACCGCAAAGTCATTTTTAAAAAAAACCATTTCGAGATATTCGCGTTTAAAGTTTCAAGTTTGGGTTTGGGCGGGGACGAGTCGCGCGGCTAGGAGCGCTCTAACTTTTTTTCTACTGCCCAAATCTCTATGAAAATTTTGGGAAATATTCTCAAAAAGTTGTTCTTTAAGATAAAGCAAAAAAAAAAATTTCGATTTTTTGAAAATGAAAAAGGTATATACCCCCTTAAGGGGTTATCCGGGTATTGAAGCACGAAAAGAAGCCTATTTTCGTGAATTTTTTAAAAGATCTTACGACAATTTCACAAATTTCATTTATTGTACATTAATGTTTATGGTTTGACCAACATTGTGTAAAAATTGGAACCAAAATTTTTTTAAAATTGAGCCGTTGAGGCAGGCTTGAACTTGACCTCATAAAAAATTGTGTCCTTGCGGTAGGCAAAATATCTCCGTCAATTTTTATCTGAAATCAAAAAACCAAAATTATTCTGATAGTGTATGTGTCTCGCTTGTCCTCTACGAGCCATTTTTTTAAATTAAAAATTGAATTTTTTGTATCGCTTTTCATAAAAAGTGTAATTTTGTACGTGAAGTTTGGCCATATTTTGGCTTATAAAATGAGTTGTAATTAAAAATTTTAAAAATCCCTCCGTTAAGGACAAGAGAATTATGTCTAAAAGAATTTTACAAAAGCAGAAGTTGATCGGTGCATTAGTTTTTGAGAAATCGTGTCTACCGATTTCAAAAAAGTGAGAAAAACGCGTTTAAAGTGCCGCATCTGCCCGACGCCAGAGCCCGAATTGCCCGTTGTGACGTTCGACGCGCTGGGCTTTAAATTTCTCCCATTCCTACAGTTTTGCTTCGATCGACTTGAAATTTTCAGACAACATTCCTGAAACTTTGTACTATTATATAAAAAAGTTTGAAAAAAATGAATTTTTTGAAGTGTCAAGACCCGGATAACCCCTTAAATGAATTATTCAACATTCGCGAATTCTATAAATGCAGGTAAAAAAGCTTTTTTTTAGATCGTATTGAACCAAATCGAAAAAGAGTAATTGGAAAAACCGTAAAACAAATTGAAACGTTCTCATCTATGTATTTACCATTTCTTCAAACTAATAATAATCATAACGTGTAGTACACATGTAGAAATATAAATACATAAATAAATAGGCAAAATATGCAATTTTTATTGTTATTCAGTACAATTTAGGTTCAGATTTTAAATTATTTATTTAAAGCCTTAAAAAGCTATATTTTGTTTTAGTCTAATTTAAATTACCAAGAGCACATTTTTAGCATTTTATTTGATATTCATTTTTTTTCTGTCTTCAGCACAACGTAATTTGATTTTAAATTTAAGGGAGAAACAAATCTCCACTTATGATTTGTATGTATATAGAGATTTCTTGTATATATATTTTGTATATTTAGGTTGTATATATCTATGTAAATAACAGGCATTTATACACACACAAAAATATTTATATAGGAGTGTTTTACTTGTGAGAAATATTCTATGAAAAATTAACATTTATGTTTTTCTTATATGTCTTAGGTTTGTCTTTTGTAAACTAATTCTGGTTACTTTCGAGGAAATTGTACACTGTTGATTTATTTTCGTTCTTGTGGGCTAGGTCTAGGTATTGTATAATTCTTTACTCAAATATTGCATTTTCCTTCCCTTATTTTGTTGGGTACATAAATACGAATGTTTGGAAAATATATTCGAAATAAATGTTTGTCTCTTTCTCTCTTTCGCGCTTAATAACTTAATTTTTGGAATTGGAGCGAAGGCTTTTCGTTATATGTATATATATAAAGTATTAAGAGTAAAATTAAATTGTTCATAAGTATAACATGAAGTCTACTTTTATGGAGATATAAGTTGATTCCTTTTGCGGTTCCTTATCAATTGATCGTTTCATTGTCGTGATGGGCATTGAAATTCTTTTCTTTTGCTCTTACATTTGTAAATACCGCAAAGTCTTCATGATTTGTTTTTGGATCTGCTTAGAGAGTCTGCCTGCAGACGTTTTCTTTTAAGAGAAAAGGCAACTTCTACACTGGCGGTGAGTGATGAGGGAGAAAATGTATACAAAGAATTTTGCTAAATTAAAAAATAAATCGTAGGCCACTAACTAAAATTAAATTTTAAGACACTAAAAATAATTATATACGCAAAACAATAAGATTCCAGTATTGTTTTAGCTGCTCCGATTATGGGGAAGGTTATTGGATTTGTCGTGCTTGATTGCTGTCGAACTTGAAACCCCAACAATTAACAATTTTGGCAACTCTGTATACTGAAAATAAATATATCAATAAAGGCCGGATTTCGGTGAAAAATATATATTTAATACGTTTCAGAACCGTATGTTTGCAAGAACTTTATATTTCCTCTTAATCCTAAAATTTTCGCTCAATATAGGCGATTACTGTATTAAAATTTTTGATATAGACAAAAAAAAACTATTTCAACCCGAAGGTATTATCCTATTTTTCACTCAAAAGGGAATTTTTTTAAGTTTATTATATTTACCATTAGAATAACAAAATGTCACTTTTGAAATTCCCAGTTGTAATAAAAATTCAGTGGCTTGGCCCCTCTCGGCGCAAAAGCGTTTACATTGCTTGAGTTTTGCTGTCCAAGGGCTTTAATTATCCTCTTTAAATTAAAAATGTCCGCAAAGCGGAATTTTGTAAAGTCTTTTTAAATATTTGTGAAATCCCAAGTCTTGAGGATTTTTCGGAAGTGGAAACTAGAACAGGGCCTAATATTATTATTTGTATAATCAAAACTTAGCTTCGTCCATTTTACTCTGATTGACTTGAAATTTAATTAAAACGAGGACGGAAGCTAACTTCGGCATGCCGAAGTTTGTATACCCTTGCAGACTTTGCCGAAATTGCTAAAATTGAAAAAGTAGCGAAAAGAATAAGGTATACATGTTATTCTTATTATTATTCATGTTATTTAAAAATAGTAAACTAGATATTTTCGCCGCCTTTAACAATTTTTACTACTGAAGCTATAAGATATAGACGTCCGATCGGCAAGCGCTTTTACCATGATCATGGTATGCATAAATAAATAAGACTTGGAAAAATGTATGTCAATAGCATATACACTGCGCGAAATATTCTGAAATCATAAATGTTCACCCTAATGTTCCTATGGGAGCTATAGGATATAGACGACCGATCGGCACGCCCTTTTACCTTGATCAAGGAATGCATAGTGCTTCCTATGGGAGCCATAGGATATAGACATCCGATCGGGGCGCTTTTTAAACATGATCTGCGTACACATGTTTTAGGACGGACAGACGGACATGGCTATATCGACTACCCTATTGCAAAAATCTGACAACAGTATCATATGGCTTATTGTTTTCAATAATATAGGCATAGAAATCGACATGTAGTCGTTTTGTAATAACTGCAAGGGTATATAAACTTCCACTTGCCGAAGTTTGCTTCCTTTCTTGTTTTAAGGTAATTTAAATGCTAAAATTTTGTGTCTTGTTTCACATGGAATAACCCCTCAGCAAGGGTATAAAATATTAAATAGAGTTGAGCAAATGGTTCTGAAACTATAGACTGATAGATACTCACAATAAATTAAATAAACTTGTAGCTGTAAAGAAAACACAATTCGATTCTTTATTGGTTCAAGGGTGGCATGGGGCATATGGTACACTTGGTGTTATCCATAAAATTTGGCGGCCCACCTGTAAAAAAAAATAGATAAATAAAGGCGGTGGAAAGACTATCTTTTAAAGATAGATTAAGATGGGAACATCCCCAAAATCCCGGTAACACTTATTTCAGAATAACCTGACTCGGCTCCCGCTTTGCATTTGTTTGTTGCTGGATCCTGATCTCGGTCTGATTGCATAAAGTCTGCTAAGTTCCGCTTACCATGCATGTGGTTCAGATGTCTACTGCCAGGATTGCCTTGTGATTGAGTGTAGAGACTGGCCAGGGGGGGTACATTGTACGGCGGAGGAGGCGGAGGTGGCATGATCAAAGATTGCTGTTGCGGTAGTTGCTGATGTTGGCTGCGTATATTCATGTATGCCGCTGCAGTCGGTGGTGCAGAAAGCTGAATGGTTGCTGCAGGATGGTTAGGTGTTGGTGTTGGTGTGCTGGGTGGTGTGGTTGTGCTCTGACAAGAACTGTTCAGACTACGGGTCACTGCATTGTTCGATATTTGCTGCAGCAGCCGGCAGTCGGCTGCCGTATAAACTGGGGGCGATACCTCATGATAAGTGCTGTTCTGTTGCTGTCGGTACTGGAAGTGGTGGTGTTGCTGCTGATGCACGTAGCCGCTGTCACAGGACGATATGGAACCTGTTGGGTGTGAAAATAGGGTAAAGAAAAAGTCTTATGTGGCAGCCCTGAAATGGTGTCCTTCTTTTCAGGATTCATTTCATGACCCCACGAGGTGCTAGTGTGCGTGTTATGAAGGGTGTATGCTTGCGTATATTTAGCCGACAACCAACCAAGCCCCATCCAACCACAAACAACTATATATTTTCAAATGCAAGCAGGGAACAGAGTCTAAAGCGCAACTAACAAAGTATATATAATTGTTGACTAAACTAAAGGTAAGTATAAATATTATTAACTTAAAAAGCTTATAAAGCTAAGAGCATTAATCAACTCAAAGTAAAGAGTCGTTTAATAATTTACATTTCTTAGTTCGTATTGCTTTTTCAACTAGTTTAAGGAAAAAGGCTTCGGCAAGCCGAAGTTTGTGCTCGGAGAAAAACGACGAATAATTAATTTTGCTCAATCTTAAAGGACATTAAAAAAACATGTTAAAACATGTTTATTTCGATTTCGATGCTTAAGAGTCCATTTTGGTTAGTTTCGTCAAAAAAAATCGAAATTTTTTTTTGTAGTTTTTGGATAGCTCTAAGTGTCTAGAATATCATACTAAAAATGGCAAATCGACATACGTAATATTTTAAAAGTTATGAGCCTCCGAGCCGACCGACTCAAAATGTAGCGTCGTTTATATCGAAAAAACTGTACATAAAACTTTAAATACGTTTTCTGAAAAACTACATTTTTCGAGCTGGCGAATATCATATCTCAGTCAATTTTTAACGAATCCAAATGTTTTTTATATACTCGTAATTAAATTGTCCATGGAATGGAATAATATTAAATAGATAGCTTATACATTGGATTTTTAATCGACAAAATAGTGAAGAAAATGTTCAGTAAAAACGACACTACATTTTTCAAACTCCATTTTGTTATTTTTTATTCAATTTCGATAAAAGTAGTATATTCCATAACCACACTCCAACTTAAAAATAACAATTTTGAATTTTTTTGTTTTAGACGATTTTTACGACCTGTAGAAGAGTCGCCAGCGGGATTCATGTTTCGTGCATTGGCTTACGTCGCTCTGTGCTCTGCTTCCGGAAATGCTTACAAATTTTTAAAATTTATTCAAAATAATTTTTAAAATATCAGAAATATACCTGAAAGTTTAAGTACCTATGTTTTTTTCAATGTTTAAAAAAAAATGCTGCAGATTGCCTATTTTTTGACACAACTAACCAGAATGGACCCTTAAAACAATGAAGCTAGGTCGAATTTTTAATACATTTTTTGATCGTTCCAATGTCAGCTATATGATATAGAAGTCCCATTTGTATAAAAGCTTAGTACACCCGAAAATTGTGTACTTGATAGAGCTTTTTCTAAAAATAAAAATCAAAACTCTTTGAAATTATCAATAAAACAATTAAAATTAAAAAAAAAATGTGTTAATAATCTGTACAACCAACCAACCCAACAGGGATAATAGCATTTCCTAATACCCATTTCCTAATAAATGTTTACGATTGGGTTTATATTTGGTAAAATAACTTTTGGGGAGAGAAAGTAAAGAAAGAATTGTATGTGGCGACGAAACAAAATTTGATCTTTTTGGAAATTATCTTCAATGTATGTGCGACGTCTTATGTGTATTTATAAATATGTCAAACATAGAGTTGACAATAAAATGATTTGGACAGCTGCCGCGTTTTTCGTGACTACCAAAAATTATAATCTGAGGATACCAAAAGACTTTTGGAGACTCTAATATTACCCCATGCTGAAGATAAGATGTCTTACAACTTGAGGTTTTAAAATAGTTAAGTCAATTTGCCGACTCAAAAAGAAATTGACAAGGTTAGCACATTTATTGTTAATACACCAAAAGGAACCTGACACTTATAAATCTATGCCCAAAAAGAAACAAAGGGGACCAAAAAAGTGCGTTAGACACATTGCATAACAGCTAATGCACAAAAAATTGTTTCACTCCGTTACATAAATTTATACTAACACAAAAACTTTAAGGTAAAAGGGCCAAGAAAATAATTTAATCAAGAGGTACCTAGAAATAATTTTAGAACGTAAAGTACGATACTTAGCGTCATGTTTTAGTAGCCCCTAAAAACATTGGTTTTAGTCTAAAACTACGGATTAAAAAAAAGGGCACTCACCGGAAGTTACGGATTTGCGAAGTGGTAAATCGCGAAAAGTAGTTACACTACTGCTCTCGAGAGAAAGATCAACCGATGGTAAAGGCGGCGGCGGAGCTGGAGTGTCCGAGTGTGATCGCTCGTGGATGGCACGAACCGGCATTATGTTCCCTGCAAACGAGATAAAGAAATTAGGCAAACAGGCCACAGCTTATTTTCCCTCAGCATCGAAATATTTCAAATATCATTTGTTAAACCACTTACCTCCCGATGCTAGACGTCGATGGGAGCAGGGACTAGGGCTCGTCGTGCACTGGGCGTTGGGTACTCCCCCGGCAGCCGGCGAAGGAGCCACTCCTAACGCTCCGCATCCCGATGGTGTGCTGAAACCATGTGCTGCATGCATGTGATGTAACGGCGGAATTACACCAGGTACAGCGGGTCCGTGGCGTGGCACAAACGGCTGGTGTGGCCGGATCTTGGAAGATTCTGACAGTGATAGCATCTTCTTGACTGCCTGAGGCGAAGCTGTACCGAATTTCGGCCCGTTGTTGTTCATCTGTCGCCGCTGATGATCGCTGGTGGAACTAGTCGAACTGGTAGTCGAAAGGGTGGGCGAACTTGGGTGTCTCTTGCGCAACGAGAGAGAGGAATTTGGTGCCGAGCTGGAGCTGGTATGCGAGTAGATGCTCAGCTGGTCGCCGGCATTGAGGCTGGAACTGCCCGCGCCGCATCCGCCAGAGCTGCCACAGCCACCGCCACCTCCGCTTCGGTGCGAGGTGTTACCGTGCGAAATACTGCCCGAGTAGGTGGATCCGTGTGCAGGCTCGCACTCCAACGAAAATTTGTGCAACAAGTCCTCGTCGCTGAGTATTTTAAGGCTGTTGAGGTAAGCCTTAACCCGTCTCACCATCTGAGCTTCCTCAAACATTTTTTTTGGGTTGGGCGCCGCCGCTGATTTCTTGCGCCGCTTTATAGTTGCCTGGCCAGCGTTGGCCGCTATTACTGTGCTGGCGGCAGAGTTGCTATGAGACGCAGACATCTGATTGAGCGAGAAAAGGGCGTTAGAGGGAGTCTGTCCCTTGAGCTCAAGGATAGACAGCAGATCATAGGGAGAACTACACATATGCGTCAGTAGGCGTACTTCCTTGGCCAGCATACGAAGCTTCTCGAAGTTGATTAGGCCGTCCACTCTTGTATCATTGCCTAGGTGTATAAAGGTGAGATCCTTTTTTACAATCGGATAAAACGGAATGATGGGGTGCTGAGCCAACAGTTCGGCCGATACTAGTTGCCGATACTTGCTCATATTGCGCGAAGGGTCCATTAGGTCTTGCAGGTCGTTGAACAACCTCTGGTACTTAGAAGGCAGCTTTTCCCACGTTAAACGCAGTCGCGACACAGCTCCGTGTCCCAGGCCAGAGACTATAGCAAACATGGAGTTAAAGTTCCGACACTCCTTGCAGTGGCGAGCAATCTTGATGAACTGCTTTACTATCTTCATGCGACGCACGATGTTGTGCTCGGCGCAAATTTCACTAACCACCCAAAACATTTCGCGATTAACAAGTTCAGCAAATTTGCTGAGCATGGGGACCCCGTATCGAGAGCGTAACTCGAACAATTCGTCCACATATTCTGTGGACTCAATCTGGCGAAAGTTTGCAAAATCCTGTAGAGTGAGTTGTATGGCCAGCTCGTATGCGTTTAGATGTAGAAAGTGGACACTTGACTCGCGTACTAGCTCCAAGGCCAGTTCGTCCGGAACTAGCGGCTCGGTACTATCGTTGAGCTTGAGGTAGTAACGCGCCGCAAAGCTAATTCGCTCCGCCAGGTTCTGCAGCTGATCAGGAAGCCTGCGCTGCTTTACCATTCCACCATCGCCTACACTCACTTCGCATAGCGAGAAATTTGAGCTGGGGTCGTGGATTCCAAACTCCTGCAGTGTCAGCATTACTACCTCGTGAGCCGTCGTCTCTTTGTAGATAAGCACATATTTGCACGTCTGATCTGCCTTATACACCTTTAACACGTGATCGGGGTAATCGGGAAGGTGCGACTGCGTGGAGTTTGTCGTCAGAGTACTCGCTGTTGATGGTCGGTGAATGTGGGCGCCCAGGTAGTTTGCATGCAGCTTTCCACCACCAGTTCCTCCCGCTTCACTGCCTCCTTCATAATTGAGGCTGGTTAAATCCGGATTTGATTGTGACTGGTAGAGTCGACCACTCCCACTGGCCGCACATCCATTAATCGAGGACTGAGTGGAACTGCTGGACGAAGTGACCGTAGAGAGCTTCGACTTGGGGTCATTAAGCAGCGTGTCGGACGAATCGTTAAGGCTGCTTCCGTGATGCTGTTTATTGAGCAAATTCATTTTTGCCAGTGCCTTTTGCAACCGCCGCTTGGGCGCCAAAGTCATAAAACCCCCTTTTGTATCCTGCTGATCGGAATTAGAGTTGGAGCCCTTTTTAGCCGAGCTGTTGTTAACGCTTTGTAGCAGCTGCTGCATAAAGTTGGAGGCCATGTTTCCACTACCGCTCACTGGCGGTGTTTGCGGTGGTGCGCAGTCCGGCTGGTCGAGTAGCATATCTACGGAACTTAGGCGCACCATGTGCGCCCGATTTGAGGCGCTGACGCTGGACAATTCGTCGGTGGTGCTATCGGAGCGACCGTGCAGCTTAGCAATATCATTGGCGCAAATGCGGCGGGGACTTCGGAGGCACTTAAAACTGCTGCTGCCCGCGGAAACACTTCCGGATCCAACGGTTCCACTGCCATGTTCAAGAGCCTGCATTATCTCTTTAAAATCAAGCAAGTTGCTTTTTACGCTAATGCTCAAGTGTGTGGTGCCCGTAAGGATCTCAAGAGCTCGCTTGCTAGTCACATGGTCCATAGACTGCCCATTCACTTCGTGAATCTGGTCGCCGCGCTTGAGTCCCACATCTTGGGCCTTTGAACCAGGTTCAACGTGTGAAATATAAATGCCCACGGCTGCGTTGCCTGTGGCTACGGCTACGCCCCTAAGCTCGTAGCCGCCCACGATGTTGAAGTTGAGCGGCTCGTCACGCGATGATCGAGTAAGAGTACAGCTGCGAATTCGCGCTTTTGCGGCACACGCAATGTGCAAAAGACGCAGTTGGCTTAGCAACTTCTTTCTCTCAAGCAGTGCTTCAAAGACTTCTAAAAACTCCATCATTTTATGATCCGCCTCAAAATCGGTAAAGTGGTTGTTGACCCAGAGAAGCACTACCCGTGTGACGCGGTCCCGCAGTTCTTGCGTCTTGTGCGCATCCACTTGCTCTAAATCAAACCAATGCAGCAATTTGCTGGTTACCTCTTGCGGGTTATGAATAAAGATGCGATGTGTGAGCAAAAAGTCCTCCACGTAGGTGGGGTCCGTCATTGAGTTTTCTTCTACCAGCTGCTGTAGCAGCCTCTCTGGAGTGCCTCGGATGACGACGTGACCGCGTTTCATGTTCAAAGATGACGAAGCTCCCGTTGTCAATCCGCCACCGCCAGCACAGTCAGTGCCACCACCTCCAATAGATCGCAGCTCCGTGACCATGACCACAGACCCATATTCGTCCTCATGCCGCCGTGTGTTCTCCTCGCCTTGATGCTGAATGCGGTAGTAATCCGTCTGCGTGATACACACAAACTGGCAGTCGTCACACTTGGTCCGCATCACACCTCGGTGGTAAAGCTTGTCCATAGTGGGAAGGATGCCAAAGGAGTCGCCCATCTGCAGCTCTTCGCGGCTGCCGTTCGCATGTTCGATCTCCACGGCGCCGTTTATGAGAACCGACCAAGAGTCCAATTCTTCACCATCTGACATAACCACGGTTCCGGCCTTGTCCACCACGGCAAACACCATAACGGAACAGAGTGCTCGTCGCACTGACAGTGTTATGTTAGTGAAAGCTTTAAGGCCCTGCGTGAACTCAAGCAGCACTTCCACGTCCTCTTCGCTACGCTCCGCCGGATCCTTCTCCAGGCAGTCCCGCACTGCATCTCGCACAGTTAGACTCTAAATCAATGGAAAAGGTTGCAAGATATATTCGTATAAAATGAAATATATGCTTTCAATGATAAAATTTGTTTAATAATAGTCTTCTAAATTTTGTTCCAAACCAAGGCAAAACGAGGACGGAAGCTAACTTCGGCAAGCCGAAATTTTAATACCCTTGCAGACTGTGCCGAAATTGCTAAAATTTAAAAAGTAGCGAAAAGAGTAAGGTATACATAAATAAATTAGATTTGCATAGTTTCATGTCAATAGCTTTTATACTGCAAAAATGTCATAAACAAATAGAAAAAAAAGGGATATTTTCGCCGCCTTTAATAATTTTTCCCACGGAATCTATAAGATATAGACGTCCTATCGTCAAGCGCCTTTGCCCCGATTAAGGTATGCGTAAATAAATAAGACTTGGAAAAATGTATGTCAATAGCTTATACACTACGCGAAATATTCTGAAAAACATCAAATTTTGACCGATTTCACCCTATTCTTCCTATGGGAGCTAAAGGATATAGTCGTACGATCAGCACGCGCTTTTAGATTGATCAAGGTATGCATAAACAATACGATTTGGAAAGATTCATGTCGATAGCTTTTACACTGCGCGAAATATCATCAATTCTTGCCAGATACAGTTGCGAAAAAAATAATAATACCACTGTATCGTGCTGCTTTCATTGTAAAAAAAAATTAATTTGCTGTTGTTGTTTTTTTTCAAAATAATTTTTGAATAGCTTATACACTACGCGAAATATTCTGAAAAACATCAAATTTTGACCGATTTCACCCTATTCTTCCTATGGGAGCTAAAGGATATAGTCGTACGATCAGCACGCGCTTTTAGATTGATCAAGGTATGCATAAACAATACAATTTGGAAAGATTCATTTCGATAGCTTTTACACTGCGCGAAATATCATCAATTCTTGCAAGATACAGTTGCGAAAAAAATAATAACACCACTACATCGTGCTGCTTTCATTGTAAAAAAAATTAATTTGCTGTTGTTGTTTTTTTTTCAAAATAATTTTTGAATAGCTTATACACTACGCGAAATATTCTGAAACACATCAAATTTTGACCGATTTCACCCTATTCTTCCTATGGGAGCTAAAGGATATAGTCGTACGATCAGCACGCGCTTTTAGATTGATCAAGGTATGCATAAACAATACGATTTGGAAAGATTCATTTCGATAGCTTTTACACTGCGCGAAATATCATCAATTCTTGCAAGATACAGTTGCGAAAAAAATAATAACACCACTACATCGTGCTGCTATCATTGTAAAAAAAAGTTAATTTGCTGTTGTTGTTTTTTTTCAAAATAATTTTTGAATAGCTTATACACTACGCGAAATATTCTGAAACACATCAAATTTTGACCGATTTCACCCTATTCTTCCTATGGGAGCTAAAGGATATAGTCGTACGATCAGCACGCGCTTTTAGATTGATCAAGGTATGCATAAACAATACGATTTGGAAAGATTCATTTCGATAGCTTTTACACTGCGCGAAATATCATCAATTCTTGCAAGATACAGTTGCGAAAAAAATAATAACACCACTACATCGTGCTGCTATCATTGTAAAAAAAAGTTAATTTGCTGTTGTTCTTTTTTTCAAAATAATTTTTGAATAGCTTATACACTACGCGAAATATTCTGAAAAACATCAAATTTTGACCGATTTCACCCTATTCTTCCTATGGGAGCTAAAGGATATAGTCGTACGATCAGCTCGCGCTTTTAGATTGATCAAGGTATGCATAAACAATACGATTTGGAAAGATTCATTTCGATAGCTTTTACACTGCGCGAAATATCATCAATTCTTGCAAGATACAGTTGCGAAAAAAATAATAACACCACTACATCGTGCTGCTTTCATTGTAAAAAAAAGTTAATTTGCTGTTGTTGTTTTTTTTCAAAATAATTTTTGAATAGCTTATACACTACGCGAAATATTCTGAAAAACATCAAATTTTGACCGATTTCACCCTATTCTTCCTATGGGAGCTAAAGGATATAGTCGTACGATCAGCACGCGCTTTTAGATTGATCAAGGTATGCATAAACAATACGATTTGGAAAGATTCATTTCGATAGCTTTTACACTGCGCGAAATATCATCAATTCTTGCAAGATACAGTTGCGAAAAAAATAATAACACCACTACATCGTGCTGCTATCATTGTAAAAAAAAGTTAATTTGCTGTTGTTGTTTTTTTTCAAAATAATTTTTGAATAGCTTATACACTACGCGAAATATTCTGAAAAACATCAAATTTTGACCGATTTCACCCTATTCTTCCTATGGGAGCTAAAGGATATAGTCGAACGATCAGCTCGCGCTTTTAGATTGATCAAGGTATGCATAAACAATACGATTTGGAAAGATTCATTTCGATAGCTTTTACACTGCGCGAAATATCATCAATTCTTGCAAGATACAGTTGCGAAAAAAATAATAACACCACTACATCGTGCTGCTTTCATTGTAAAAATAAGTTAATTTGCTGTTGTTGTTTTTTTTCAAAATAATTTTTTTTTAAGGTTTAATATTGCTCTAGTCTAAAACAAAGTTTCCGTTTTTATTAATCCCACCTACATATTTTTTTATTTAGTTTTTTATTAAAAAAGTCAGAAAAACAGCGAAAAAAAATAGCACCACTATCAAGTTACTTAGAGAATATCTTATATTTCGCCCAACAGCCTTAAAAGAAAGTACCTGCTGATTAAATTGGACTTTTTTAACTATTTTGTTAAAAAAAAATTGAAAAACAACATTAAAATGGGACGTGGAAAAAACTGCAAGAAGGATCCTTTTAAGTCTGCTACTGAGCTTAAAATGGAGCCTAAAATTAATGCGACAGATGAAACAGTTCGCAAGTGTCTCAGACAACATAACTTAAAAGCCTGCAGTCCCAGAAAGGTTACCACTTTTAAATGCCAGGCTTATTGCTAAGGGCATGAAGTTTGCAAAGAACATGTTAATTGACCACTTCAAAAATGGAGGTATATCTAATGGTCAGATGAGAGTAAGGACGTTCTGATGGTGGAAAAGGATCTCGATCGTACGTCAAGCGTACCAAAAACTCTGATTTTATGCCGCAGTCCACCCAAAAGACCATAAAACATGTAGGAAGTAGTCTGATGGTATGGGCCTGTTTTTCCTATTATGGAGTAGGTCCAATACATTGGATTAAAACCATACTGGATCAGGACGTGTAAGTAAATATTTGGGATACGATTATGCTACCCTTTGCAGAGTACTCCATGCCAAGACGTTGTGAGGCTGTTATTGCCAATAATGGATGCACAACCAAAAATTAAATGAAGAATCTACACTTTATTTGGATGTATAAATATAGAAAACTCATGAATTTTTTACTTACAAGTCGTTGTTATAGTTTTAAATCCATTTTTTAAAAGTGGTGCTATTATTTTTTTCGTCAAATTTCTTTAGTTTCAATCAAATATCTAACATATCTTAAGAAATTAAATAAATTTGTTAATTTTTTTCTCATTTCCAGTTGGTTTATTGTCTTTCGATTTCAAAATGGTATTCAACGTTTCCATAGTGAGCTCGCAAACGGTATTGAAACAGACGGACAGACGGACATGGCTATATCGACTCCTCTATTGATCCTGATCAAGAATATATATACTTTATGGGGTCGGAAACATCTCCTTCACTGCGTTACAGACTTCTGACCAAAATTATAATACCGTCTGCAAGGGTATAAAAACAATAACCAAACCATAATTTCTTTGCAGATATAAAATTTAATATAACGATTATAACAAATTCTTCTTGTAACTTGCCATAACTCTTAAATTGTATATCTAATTGTAATTTGTAATGTATCCTAGAGGTATTACTTTTTACCCGCTCTATTTTTAATTTTTTGACCATCACAGTTATTACTATGGACAGCAGTACGTAACGATGCACACCCAGTTAGTGTGAGAAGGAGTAGTCTCCTTCTATATATATATATATATATATATGTATATATATACACTATATATATATATAAATATATACCCGAAAAAATGAAAATCCGCTACGATGGTCCGACCCTATCAAGTAATACACCATTCAGAAGGTATCGATAAAAAAAAATTGTGTAAATATTATGTATACATCATTGTGTACTTTACGATTAATTGGTTCAGGACAAAGAGTGATCCATTCAAAAGTTATTAAAATAAAAATATATTTTTCTTATTTTTGAAAATGAGTGGTTTTACAAAAATTTTATGAATACGATTATTATTATCCCCAGCAGAGCTCGGTATATACAGTTGCGGTCAAAATAATAGTAGTGCCGGTCAAGAAAAAGTTTTTATCAATATTTTCTCCATTTCTTCAAAAATGCAATTCATTTTTTCACATTAGTAACTGTAATTAACTGCTCTATAATAATGTGTAGTTATTTTCGATTCTCGTCTCTATTTTTATTCATATCTCCTTCATTTGCAAAGATTCACGTGTTTGACTAAGACAAAATAATAGTAGTGCCAGAGAAATTAGCAAGAATAATTTAGTTTACTTAATTTAAAAAGAGTTTTGTGGTGCTTAATAATAGTTTTGGGTGTTATTTACAACAGTCCCAAGCTTTTTCAGATTTTTCTTTAACATTCAGTCCTGACTACACGGGGCGTGGCAAACACTGTACTGCCGAGAGGTGAGATCTGAATAAAAAATTGATTTCTGCTGAGAAGACTTTTGTCGAAGTGCAAAATATTATTGGCTGGTGTTCTACAATGCACACTGGTCCCAATGCCCAATATTTTTGCAAAAACCCATTTTTTTTTTGAAGTTATGAAAAAAAAACATTTTATCTTCTTAGAATAATATACGTTGCATTTAAAAATCACAATTTCGTTACTGAAATTTTGGTAGCCCTGAAAGTCAGCTGTTCGTAGATCAGAAATGTTGACTTTTTGGCGCGCTAAATAAAAGCACACTTTAAAGTAAGATTGCAAAAGTTCTACTTAACATTTTAAAACAAAGTAAAATGGAAAATATTAGTGGAGGTATGTAAAATTTAAGTGTTTAATGCAATATTTTTTTAATGTGATTTGTCTTTGTGTATATGTGCTTTTGTAGAGTTGTATGTTTAACAATTTTAACCTCGCATTTTTCGTGTTTCGTGGAACAAAAGTTAGTTGGATTGTGCCGGATTATAAAAACTATTAACGCAGTTTTGTTCTTGCATTTATTTACAATACGATGACATATACCTTTTTTTAATCGTTTTTGCTCCATTTTACAAAAAAAAACTTTTTGCTAGACAACATAGACCTATGTTATGGAGAAATGCTAGAGTATTGGCTGGCACATGGACGGGAAACCGAAATCCTTTACAACTTTGTGAGGATCCTTTGAAAAATAGGATTAAGAACTTTGTTGCTTATGTGGATGCTAATTTCCTAAATAGTTATCCTACTACAGATAATGATGATGAAGATGACTTGGATACATTTGAATGTAACGATGCCTATTCCTTTAATTTAGATGTTGAAAGTGATTAAAAATTAATTAAATAAATATATTAGGTTGTTTGGTAATGGCATACCGGTTTTTACATTCCAATTTCGCGCTTCGCTTGTGAAGTTAAATATAATAGTATCTGGCAATGCTGTATATCGTTTGAAAGGTATTGGCATCACCTTTAAAATTACATATAGTTTGTTTACATGAGCTTCCACGTTAAAAATTACAATCGATTGAAATGGAGTTCACAAACGCAGAAATTCGGGCAATTTTGAAATTTTATTTCGCAAAGGGAAAAACTGCTGCGGAATCTCGCAGACAGATTATTGCTGTCTTAAGAGATAACAAACTTTCGATTCAAACCGCCGAACAGTGGTTTAGGCGATTCGGAAGTGGCAATTTTGATACCGAAACACCCAAGCCTTCCGGACGACCAGTGACCGTTGATACCATCGCGGAAACCGTCACTAGGCATTTAAAGTCGAAAAATTTAACAAAAAAGCTCGATGTATGGGTGCCTCATGAGTTATCCCAAAAAACCTTTTCGACCGTGTATCAATCTGCGAATCTTTGTTGCAACGTAATAAACTCGACTCATTTCTGGATCGGTTAGTCACTGGTGATGAAAAATGGATCACATATGACAACATAAAGCGTAAAAGATCCTGGTCGAAGCACGGTGAGTCGTCTTAAACGGTGGCATGCAAAATTTTTTCGATGGACCAAAATTGAGTTCAAGGGAGGATTGTGAAAATCGAATCGCCGAGTTTTTTGCCAGTAGGGACAAGGACTTCTTTAGGAGAGGCATATACAAGTTACCATCAAAATGGCAGAAAATCATCGAAGACAACGGTACATATAGCACTTAAATCGGACAATGCCAACTATGTTAAAATTGTCGTCAATAATCAATAAAGAAACCGGTATGTCATTACCAAACAACCTAATATTATAATTTTTCAAGATGCATTATTTAGTTTGGAAGTTGAAAATTGGTAGGGCGGGAGGGGATAGGGGATTGAGGTGATATTTACTAAAGTTATTTTATATATATTTAAAATTTATTGGATATATTGGCTATTGGCTTTACTAAAGTTATTTCATATATATTTAAAATTTTTGGATATATTGGCCCAATTTTCATGGATGTTTTGTAAATTTTTGTCCCGGGGTGCATTCTATGGGGCGGAAAGGAAGGCGTGGCCCGATCGGCACAAAATTTTGTCCAGACTTTGGATATATAGTAACTATATAGTGTGCCAAGTTTCAAGTAGCTTCATTTTTCTAGTTTATGCAAAAATATTGGTCATTGGGACCAGTGTGCGATGGTTAGAAATGCTAAAAAATATGAGCCAGCAAATGAAACGCCTGGTCGACCCAAATTATTGGATCAAAAGCAGAGATCTGCAACGAGTATGATCGAGTCAACTCGATCAGCGTGACCAAATTTCGCTCAATTCAACTCAACTCATTCTGCAGAAATCTGATCGTGAGTGATGCACACCCGAAATAAAAATTCGGAGAATAATCATGCTCGTGCATCATTTCGCCTTTGAGTTCTTTTAGCTCATCGTCGCGCTTCGGGTCGATCAACATGCTGATTTTTAGCTTCGTGTTCGAGTCCATGAAATGAACGTTGCCGAACTCGCAATCATCTCGAACAGATCGCGATCGATTCAATTTTGTGAACGATGTGAATGAGTTGATTGTGAGTAAGACTAAAATACTCGAGTTGATTTCGATCAACAAATAAAATTAAAAGGAATACTATTTGGAGGATTAAATGAACCAGTTTTTATTTTTCATATTAGGTTCAAATTCAAAATTAAATTAAAAAATAAGTAATTAATTAATTAAAAAATAAAAATTAATTCATATAAAAAAATAAAAACTATTAACAGAAATATTTCATATTCTTGTTTTCATATGTACATATGTAGTCTTAAAAATAAACTAAGTATTATATTTTGTATAATAAGAATTTAAGAAAAGCAACGCGTGCCAAAAAATCACACAAAGTGGCACGGGCCAAAGACGATCAAACCGATCTCAGACAAAAAGTACCGTACGAAAAACCATTCATATAAACCATCTGAACACAACCGAACCCAAATATTTGATCGCAACAATCATGTATAAGAAATGTTGCATTCACAAACGATCATGCCTGCGGTTGAGAACGATCACACACGGTCATTGATAAGCTTTGATCGTTTGATGCAACAGAAATGTTCACTCATAACGTTCGCTCACCGCTCATACTTTTTGGATCAAGCAAAGTGATTGAATCATACCAGATACGGGTCAATGATCTGGTATACCCAAAAACGTTTGACTCGTTGCAGATCTCTGATCAAAAGGTCAGTGGATCGCTTAGAAAGACAGTCAAGAATCGAACCTTTGGCGTCTGCTGCATCCCTAAAAAACTTGTAACTTTAATGCAAGTTTGGAAACCATAAGAAGGCGACTTAGAGATAATAACCTCATTTCAAGAAGCCCAAGAAAAGTACCGTGACTCACAAAAAAACATGCCGCGAAACGTTTAAAGTTTGCAAGACGACACTTGAATTTGCCATTGGAGAAGTGGAGGAATAGTTTTGTTTGGAGGTCGTGGTACTCGGCAGTTTATTAGACGACCATCCTTATGTGTTTTTTTTTCTTCTCAGAAATATACCTTAAAAACGGAAAAGCACGGTTCATCATGGTTTATCAATTATGATTTGGGCAAGCTTTTCATATATGGCGTTGGGCCATTATATTGGATCAAAAACATCATGGACCGTTATCTATACGTCAAAATTTTAAACGTCGTGATGCTTCCACATAATTCCGAGGACAAGCCACTTGTTTGGACATTTGAACAGGATAATGATCCTAAACATACGAGTAATCTCGCCAAAGAGTGGTTTGCGGCCAATCAAGTCAGTGTCATAGAGTGGCCTGCACATTCACCCGATCGTAATCCAATTGAGAATTTATTGTGTGACATGAAGAGAGCAGTCTCGGAAATAAGGCCAAACAATAACATTCAACTTTGGGAAGCTGTACAAAGGACTTGGCGCTCTATTCCTGTGAAGAGATGCCAAAATTTGTGCGTCCGTTATTGCAAACAAAGGATATGCAACTAAATACTAAAATCAATCTTTAAACGTTTTTTGGCTGTGATGAATTTTTAAAAGTTTCACTACTATTAATTTGAACGAACAAATTTTTGTAATTTTTCACATTTTTATTTTTTTTTTTTCAAAAATCTTATGAATTATTCAAAGTTGTTTTGTATTATTATTACCTACTATTAGTTGAGTTTCAATGAAAATTAAAAACATTTTGTAAAAACGTTTCAAAAGTTATTTTTTGCGGTTTCTGACCGCAGCTGTACATATATTTTTAAGACTTTAGAAAAACTTTCCTCAATTTACAGAAGCATAAATAATTTGTTAAATCGTGTCGAATGTTTAATCATATATATATATATTTGTATGTTTCTACATTTTTAAACCTAATTTTAGAATTTTGTCGGTATTTGGCTTACAAATTTAGGAACATATAAATCCAATGCCTACTTACATCCATGCTCTCCGCCAGATCCTCCTCGTCGGAGTCCACGACTGACTCCACCAAGCCGGATAGGTCAATCTCCTCGGCCTCCAGAGATGAGGCGTAGTTTGAGGCCATTGTATCGCTGCCGCTGTACGCCGAACTGGTGTCACTAGAGTGCGAGCCCCGGTTGCATTTTTGGTGCAGTTCCGGTCTATTTATTGTTGACGAGCTCCCCACAACCGCTCCTGTGCTGGCTATGCTTGTGGGTGGATACTGTAGGAGAAATATGAATTTTATTAAAGAATAATAAACCAATCTGAGCACACTCACATGATGTCTGATATGGTGATACAGATCCATGAGGCGTATCTTTTACTGTGGACTCTGCGTATTACCGCCAACCTCACCCAGTCAGATTTGATATGTGGTCAGTATTTAACTAAAAAAGTAAATAAAACACATAAGCCCACAATAAAAGCGATTAGATAATTGTGAAGATTTACAACAAAAAGAAGAAACATGGAAACAAGCGGAAACATGATGACATAGTTCACAATAATGAATTAGGTTCTTAAAGTCGCGCTGCATTGGGTCCAACCAGTCAGTGTCCTGTTATAGCCCACACTACTTAGTCCCAGTCTGCTCTATGAAGGGAGTGTTTGACTTACATTTAAATGTAAACTTACCACCTTAGTACGATATTTTTTCAGGGAAGCCAATTCCTTACAAAATGACAACTCATATTTAGGGCTTTTATAATCTAAACATAAACAATTTGGGTTTTATATTCTTTTGGTTCCTTTTTGCTTGTAAATAATAAGATTATACCGTTTTACTCTTGCCTATATATCGTAAAAGCGTTTGCACTCGGTTTATCAGAACTTACGAGCTCAAATAGCTTATTGAATAGCTTAATCGTTTGCAAACGATTTTTTTGTAAATTCTTAAATTTCAGGAGATGGGCAAACATGGTCATCTTTTATTTTTTTGAAAACACGATTTTTAAGGGGTGGGAAAACGTTTTTTGTTGAAAAATCTCGTGTTTAAGCCGCGGCAAACGTTTTTGTCAAAATTAACTATTTTTAAGAGGTGGGCAAACGATTTTTTTTTTTAAATTCTGAAATTTCAGGAGATGGACAAACATGGTCATCTTTTATTTTTTTGAAAACACGATTTTTAAGGGGTGGGAAAACGTTTTTTGTTGAAAAATCTCGTGTTTAAGCCGCGGCAAACGTTTTTGTCAAAATTAACTATTTTTAAGAGGTGGGCAAACGATTTTTTTTTTTAAATTCTTTAATTTCAGGAGATGGGCAAACATGGGCATCTTTTATTCTTTCGAAAAAACTATTTTTAAGGGGTGGGCAAACGTTTTTTTTGTTAAAAAATCACATTTTTAAGCTGTCGGCAAACGTTTTGTCAAAATTAACTATCTTTAAGAGTTAATTTTTAATTCTTTGATTTCAGGAGATGGGCAAACATGGGCATTTTTTATTCTTTCAAAAAAACTATTTTTAAGGGGTGGGCAAACGTTTTTTTGTTAAAAAATTACGTTTTTAAAGCCGTCTGCAAGTTTTTGTCGAAATTAACTATTTTTATGAGGTGGGCAGACGATGGGCAAACATGGGCATCTTATATTTTTTCGAAAAAGCTATTTTTAAGGGGTGGGCAAACAATTTTTCCTGAAGGTAAATATGATCAAAACTTAAAAGTCGAATATTTTCAAAGTATAAATATTTTTAAAATTCTAAAAGATGGGCAAACGTGGGCAAATGATCAACTTTTATGTTTTTGAAAATGTTCGAAAATTTTCGAAGATTCCATATTTTTAAAACTAAATGTGGGCAAAAACAATTAAAAAGTGGGCAAACATGGGCAAAAAATGGGCAAACGATTAAGCTATTCAATTTTCGAAAATTCGATTTTAGTCGACCCAGCTTCTTTGAGCTGAAGTTACGTTCAAAATAAAATAGCCATGACAATAGGCATACCATAAAAATATTTAAATCATTTTGTAAGCCAGTGTAATTTGTAATGTCTAAGGAAATAATAATGCGGACAGCAACACTGTCTCTATAATAACGTATAAATTGGGGGTTGATTACCACGAAAATTTAAATTTGTTTATTTAGCCTTTGATACGCAGTACAGGGCACGGTTCCAACGTTCCACACAACTCAAAATGGTAATTACAATATCACTAAATACAATAGTTAAAAAGCAATGGCTTAAAGTTATTTTCAAATTTTTGGTTGCTCCTTTTTATGAGCTAGTTTTTCGTGGGATTTCTAAACGACAACTTTTATCAGTTTGGAGGAACTAACGGTGCCTGGACATAGAATTATGCCGAACAAGAAAGGAAAGCTAACTTCAGGCGGAGCCGAAGTTGATATACCCTTGCAGAATATTCTGTAAATTATATTGTCAAAAATTATTCATATGATGCATTCTTAATACTCATAAAAAGTCCCAACTTCCTAACTTTAAAAACACCAAAGTTATGGCATTTCCGATCAATCAGTTATGTAGCGGCTATAGGATATAGTCGGCCGATCCTTATAAAATATAGTATGTCGGATTGATTGGCCAAAAATAAAACCCATAGAAAATCCCAACTTCCTAACTTTAAAAGCACAAAAGTTATGGCTTTTCCAATCGTTCAGTTGTTTGGCAGCTATATGATATAGTCGCCCGATCCGGCTCGTTCCGACTTATATACTGCCTGCAATAGAAAGACAACAATCGACTCTCCTGGTGATGGTGATCAAGAATATATATACTTTATAGAGTCGGAAATGTCTCCTTCACTGCGTTGCAAACTTTTGACTGAAAAGTTATAATAAAATTTTTTAGGTACAACAAATTAATAATTAATTTTTATATATAAAGTTAAAACTGTTATTAATTAAAGCAAAATGATCTGAAGTCAACATATATTGCAAAGGAACAGCAAAGTTTACGCACAGATCAAAATGGTTTAAAAACATTATACTATTAAAATAAGCAAATAAAGCAAATATTTTAAAAACAACGAAGTTTTAAATCGCCCTACTCGTTAATATTTAATTAAGCTTTAAAGTATTTAAATTTTTTTTTTCCTTATTTTTTTTTTTTTTTCTGAATGCACAACATTTTGAGAATATTGTGTTAAAGTTTTAGATCGATCCGAGTAAAGCTTCCGAACTTAAGGGGGTCCTCCTCTACTCTCCAAATTTTTAAAAATCGATTTTTTTTTTTGCTTTATTTTGATCTATATGTATCTAAGAATACTCCACAGAAAGGGTTTGGTACAAATCATATTTCTTGTCATGTTTCTGGGAACCGGAAGGTACCCATGTGCGGCCGTTTCCGATCATGTTTTACACTGTACTTTATCTTTAAACGCGATTTCCCGAAAGTTGTGTTTTTTTAACTTTCAGGTAAGCCTTTTCATAGAAGTTATAGTTCGATTTTAATAATTTTTTTTCAATTGTTCAGAAAACACATCGCTATGTTTTCCCGTGTACGATATTCGAAATTTTGTTTAGTTCAATTTTCATAGCTTCTAAAAGGTAAAAAAAACAGTAAAAATCTAAATTTTTCGCAAATTGTAGAAGAAAAAAATCACACATATTGTTTAAATGTTGCCCAATCACATGCAAAAAACAAAATTGAGCTGAGACTAGCCAATACAAATTTTTTAAAAATGTCCGTTTTTTCACCGAATTAACTATACCTCCCCCCTTAATTATTTTCAACAAAAGTTCGTATACTTCACAGGGTTGAAAACGACCCATTCGACCTGACTCACATATTTGTAATAAAATCGGTTTAATTACGGTTTAATTATATTTGGAAAAGGAAATAAAGCTAGCGGCGAGGCATAGTTTATGTACTGTTTCCGTGTAAGTATATCATTTAATTTTGGCAGATTGTATGACAGCTAAAGGATATAGCCCATTCATCTGTGGGATTTTCTAACTTGAGCTGTGTAAGCGAATCTGCATGACACTCCAACCTCATATTAATAAATATAGCCACACGTAAGCCGATTTCTTTGACTCGAAGTTAAAGTTAAATTTTGACTCAAATATTCTATATTAAATTTTGACTCAAATATTCTATATTATATTCTAAGATATAAATTGGTGGGTCTACACTTCCCAGCACCCGATTATCCTTTTAATAAAATGAAGATGGACATGGCTATAGATAATAATAAAAGTTACACTTGCTTTCACGTTAAAAGCCAGTCTTTTCGAACTGAAACAATTTGCTGTATTTTAACAAAAACCGTAGTTTTCTTAGTATCTGGAAAAAGTTTGAAATTTAATGCATACAAATCTCGAACAAAGGTTTGAATTCTCTCCATAAAACAAATCATAATTCCTGTGAGATTTTATTAGTCAATTATTTCTTGTTTATTTGTTTACTGTCCGCGCAAGTTGCTTTTGTGGCCCGTACTATCTCACTTTCATTTTCCGACACAAGAACAATGCTGCCAATAAATTAAGTCAAACAAAAACAAGCAGAGAGTAGGAGATAAATTCTCATGAATTTCGAGTGTGCGCTGCCAACAGCAGAGCAGCAGAGGTAGCAACAAAAGTGTGTGGGAGCCAAATAAGCTACTGTACATGAGAAGTGTTGCCAACTCTCGCTTCAAAAATGAAATCCGATGTTGAAAATATCCAATAAAATTTAGTTCATAAAAAAAATAACCAAAAAATATATCCTATTTTTGAAGTCCTTTATTCTCCCTTTAGTGGTTTAAAAACAAGTTCTTGCTTTTAAAGTCGACTTAAGGAACGTCGAAATAACTAATGTAAGTCAACCAAATCTTGTTGATGAAATTTTTAAAGAAAGAATAATACGTCCAAATATACTAATTTAAACTTTAGCTGAATAATGACGAAAGAATTTAAATATGTCCAAAATGTTTTTAACAAGTTCCATCTGATTAGCTCTAAATGGGCTACACTTAGCTGCAAAATAGCTGAATTAACAACACTATATGTGAGAGCGAGCGATTGCAAGTGTGTTTGTAAGGGGCGAGCAACACAGAAAAATAATAACAAAAAACTAAACGAAAATTGTAGGCGACAACTTCCGCTCGCTGGATAAGCCATTTACAATAAAAAAAAATGCTTGCAAAATGAAAGTGTAGTAAATATAACACACTTTGCACCACCCAACAGCGTGTAAGCACACGGACAACAGCATCGCACACATCAAATATGGGCGTGTTTGTACAGTTCAATGGTTTTGTGGACATGAAAGCCCTTGGGCAGTGTTTTTGTCGATGCAATTGCTAATTGTACGCACGTTTTTATAGCTGCCGCAACGTAGACAAGTAGTTTACCCGCTGCGCTTTATTGCGATCACTTTTGCATAAAGAAATTCAGGCAGCGTGTGTGTATTGGTATTAGGCTGCGCATTGTTGGAATTTCTTCACTCACACACAAATCTTGACGATGAAAATTGGATTGTGTACCGCCAGTTTCCCGTTATTTTCCGCCCTTAGCTCTGCGGCGGACTGTTCCTTTTTTATATTGCATTTGAAGGATTAGTATTTTGATTCAAAGATGCTCTTTTAATTAAAAAAAAATTAAGTAGCTCTAAACTTAAACTCCGACGCGTCTTTTTGTGTGACCACACTGCACATAATTACTGCAGTTTTTGGAAGACTATCGGAGTTCTGCGGTATTAAAATACCACCTTATGTCTCGATTGTTCTGAGGGTATCGATATTTTCAAGGTTCGGTCCATTTTTATTTCGGATACGTTTCGGATTCGAATTTTGACCGTTTAATTTGAGTTTCGGCGGCTAAATTACCGATTGAAAAAAACTATTTTGGGAAAATCGGGGGGAAAATCGTGAACCAAGTAAAAATATATAATGTACACAATTATATATAATATGTTACGGAACTGCATCGTCCTGAGACGGCGCCGGCTAGCCCGGGAATCCTCAGGGCGGAGTACCCCCGATGTCCCTACAGCTTCCACAACATTAAACATCGATTACTATCGACGTCTCACTTTACAAATACTAACATCTCTAACGAAAAGGTAAACAAAACCAAAATAAACAAATCGGGACAAATACAACGAAAAAGTGGCATAAGATGTGGCTGCCACAGCGCACCCACCCTTCCTGTGGTGCCCCTAGTGTCGTGCCGGAATCACTGCCAGACGGTCCACGACCGGTCCATCTCCCCCAACAGGTAAATAACTTACTTCATCATTTTCAATTTGCCTCTTAAAATAGTAGTACCGACAAGGTCGGGAAACTAGCTACGGTCATCGCGGAACCAAATCTTCGCACAGGCTTGGTTGGGACTGCTGCACTATTTGGGGCCTCCTAATCCTGGGGAGCTCCGAGGGATGAGAAGGGACGTGCGTAAGTATATAGATATAAATGCCTATGGACCTGTTTCTTTCACTTTTAGGGATTCGCGCGACCAAATTTGCTGAACTGGACGAGGGGTGAGAAAAAGCGGCCGCAGGTAAATCAGTATCAATTTACAAAGGTAAGTACAATTTACAAATGAAAGATTCCCAAATAATTAGTTATGTGTGTTTTTGTAGGTGTGGAGTTGGCGGTCCGGAGATCGGTACCACGCCTTGGTTTGGCCACTGTGGACCGCGAAGGAGCACGGTCAGGGTCGCGACGCTGCGCTGCTCGGGTTCTACGTGCCCGGGACGGACTCTCCGAGGTAACGTGGAATTTTGTTGTGGTTGTGCCAGCGCCGGTTGCTGCTCCACCTGGCCGGCTATCGCTGCCTGCGGCTGTTGCTGCTGCCGGTGGCTGTCGCTGCTGCCTGCTGCTGTTGGTGGCTGAGCACTACCACGAGGTGTTTCTGCTGCCCTTCCTTCAAAAGGGAAATCGAAGAAAATCGAATAAAACTTCCGGGGCCCTATTTACTGGGTCCCCGGTGGACCTAAAATAAATAAATGTTCACTTTATTTCCTAACTTTATTCGCACTAATCGCACTCTCACTTTTTCTTGGGCTATTCTAAGATAACAAATAGAAAAATCACGTCGACATGGCTTCGATGTCTGGCAGCAACTAAACCCTATCCCTGACCTACGCAGTGTCATGCTCATTACGCCATATTCCCTTTCCCTCTCCCAAAAGTGGGTCATTGGACGAATCCAAGGCCATCCTAGCCATACCCAGAGCGAAACGGGCTAGTTTAAATATGTAGCTAGATAGCCAAGGGCAGGAGCAGAAGGGGCGACACTTTAGTAGGGGTTGCCACCCTCCAACTTTATCGATACCAAAAGCGAATACCTACTTCTTAGTTCCTCCAGCCGATTCCAACATGAAATGCAATACCACCTAAGGATTTAGAGAGACGCCTCCGAACCATGGCTACTCGACGAAATCATTGGGAGCATTGGGGATCGGTGCCTGGCGAAATCCGTATGCAGTTCCAAACGGTGCCCTGCGCGGGGCCCACGCTTACCAAGTACTGCCTTTGCTTTTTGTTGCGCTCCTTTAATTTGTGCAGCCTTTTTCACGCTTTCCACGTCGCTGTCGCCTATCACCGCCGGAGCCAAGCCAAACGCTTGCCAGAAGTCAACTCCAAAATAGGCCTCCTGCTCCAGGTAAGGGCATACATAGAACAGGATCCGCTTTATCTGTCCTCTGTACTCCACAGGTATTTCGACGCGTCCTATAATCCTCTCTAGACGCCGTGCGGACTACGGACAGGTATTTCTGGACAGGCACGTCCAACGCCTCGACCAGCTCCCTGTAACCTTTGCCCAGCAGGCTGGCAGGCTCGCTCCCGTGTCCAACAAACCAGTCAGCTGCTTGGTCAGGACTCGGACTTCGGCGTATGGCCTGGGATCTTGCGTCGAACAGCGCTTCACAGCGGCAACTACTTCCCGTCGTCTGGCCTGACGTTTTCGGAACCGATCTCTGGCCTTCTGAACTTTCCTAGACACCGTTCGCATGTCGGCTAACTGGTGCTCGGAGAAAATTCTGTTCGTGGTCTCCAATTACCGACGCATCCTCTCCTCATAAGGTAAGTATTTTAAACTGTGCTTATTTCTACTCGTACACACTAAGCCTTTTTTTATTCCTAGAACATTTACTCCTTCGCGGGGCTCTTGTCTGGACGTATCCTTCCCGCCCTCGGATCGCCAAGCCGACCGTTTTCCGCGCAATCCGGACATTTCGGAGACACGGTAGCTGGCCTTCCACATCGGTAGCAGAACAGGCGCCGTTCTGTTGCCGCACAGTCCCGGAACCCGTGGTCTACGGTTCCGCAATTCCAGCAGCCCGCTCGGAACGGATTCCTGGTCTTGGCCCGCAGGTCATCCACCTCCAGCCCATCCGTATCCTCCTCCGCTTGCGAAAGCACGGCCTCGTTCACTCTGGGTTTTTCGCCGGAACCAAAGCGCGGTTGCTGCCCGTACGTGGCGAGTCCCTGTCGTCCGAAGTTGTGTTCGACTTCGATGCACTCGTCCCGCAGCTCGTCCACCGTAAGTAGGTCCATGGCATAGACGAACCTGGCGATTCCTTCTCTCAAGCCCCTTTTAACAATTTTTACCAACTATCGCTCATACAGTGGTTTTTTCAGGCGAGAGGCCAGCTGCTGCTCCCGCTGCAGGAGTTCGTGCATCTTCTCATGCCCGGTTTGGCGACCTCGGAACCGGTCCATCAGTGAGGCACGAAACTGGGACCACCGATCCACCCTGCTATGCCGGACTTGGACCCAGTTCCCACGTGAAAGTGCCTGAGCACCTCTGCCCACGAGCATTGGTACTGCCTCTGCAGGAACTCCACTCGGAGGACGAAGTCCTCCACCGAGTTGCGGTAGTCCTCGCCGTCGAAGGACACTCCCCATCGAACTATCCGGACCTTCTGGCTGCCAAAGTCCTGCCCCACGTTGGCATATATATGCGGTTCCTGGCGGCAATCGACAGCTCGGCGGTCCTCGATGTGCTGGCTCTGCGTACCGGCGGCGTTTCGCCAAGGTAGCCGAGTCCACGACTGGTGCGCGGTCTTTCATCTCCGGCAGTTGGTCCACCGCCGAGCCAATCCCTTGGAAGTCCATCTCCGGGGAGGTTCCTGGTCCATTCTGAACTCCGTTCTCAGCGTCTCTCGCAGATGGACTTGTGGAGTCCTCGACAACCCCATTGAAATGCGTGGTACACCACCTCCGGCAGCGCCCTCGTCCTCCAAGTACCATGTTGCCTCGTCATCCCCGGCTAAAGGAACCTTCGATCGAAGATCGTAATTGGAAGGCATCGTACAGCACAACAAAAAGAAATATATAGTAACATACCCACACCCACACCCACATATATACCACATAAAGTAACATACACACACCCACATATCTACCACATAAACATATTTACATTACGCATTTGTCACACCCAAAATCATCGGCTCCCAAGAGTCGCCAATTAATATAAACATCCTCTTGAGTTATAAACAAATGAAAGAACCCCAAATTGTCGGCTCCCACGACTGACCAATTAATGTAAACATCCTCTTGCATTATAAACAAATGTCCCCAAACTCCAAAAAGCTTTTATCCCCCAATACTGTAAAATTGCAGACGCAGCTCAAACCGAGATCGCTCTCTTGCTCAGTGCTCTCATTTTGGACACTCTCAATTTATCAATAAAGTTCTTTCTCCCAATCGAAGGTTTGATAAGCGCCAGCTTAGTTTATAAGTTTGAGTTTTAAGTTGAATCTTGTAAAGAGCAGACCTATCTCTCCCAGTTCGCGTTTACACTATTTTGATAAATAAAAATTATATTTTTTTCAAAGTGTTAAATCCCGAATTTGTTATTGGCGCAGCCGGTAGGATATAACTTTTTATACGGTTATATCCTTAAAGAACCCAAACGTCGTTCGTCCCAGTGCAATTATAAACCAGCTATCGCAGTGTCGGTTTGTGTCGCACGCTATCGAAGCTCAGGTTGCGAGGTTTTTTTACTAGACTAGGCATTTTTAACCCTAAATTACTTAAGCATGATACTTTAACACATGTTAATTCAGAAAAATTATTAATAATAAAAACCTCTACTTGGTTACAAACCAATACTAATCAAATATTGATAATTTCTCATATCCCAAAAGACATTATAAAAACGTCAATATTCAAAATTTTGTCTTACCCAAATAAATTTAATGACATATTAACAAAACCTTTAGAAGACAAATACTATTTTCAAAATAATCAAATATTTTCATTTAACACAAAAGAAAGAGTTACAAATAAATGCATTATAGGAATATTAAACCAAGCCAATGCCGAATGTAAATACACAAAAATGTATAAAAAATATGAAACAAATTATATAAAGCCAAATATTATAATTACTTGGAACTTACCGAAAACTATTTTAAACCAAACATGTATAAATCAAGCAATAGTTGTCGAAGGAAATAAAATCGTAAAAGCATTTAATTGTTCTGTACAAATCGAAGAAATCTTAATAACAAATACTATAATGGATTACACACAAACTATTTATGTTAACAATAATGTAACAATGATAGAACCACTGTCAATAATTGAAGCAAAAGATATAATAAGAATACATACAAGAAAAAATAACATATATCCAAATTATTCGCCATCCCAAAGCTTTTCGAAAACACTATTACACCCCATTTGCAACATCTTTGTAGATCGATTATATCTCCATGTCAACATGGATTTATAAGGCGAAGATCTACGACGACAAACCTCTTGGAGCTAACGTCTTTTGTAATAAATGGCTTTAGAAAGAACATGCAGACTGACGTAGTTTACACTGATTTTAGTAAAGCGTTTGATTCAGTAAATCACTTGCTTCTTGTATTAAAGCTAGACTTATTAGGGTTTCCATGTGATCTTCTAACATGGATCTCAAGTTATCTGAGTGGTAGGACTCCTCTTTAAAAACTCGATCTCTGATTTGATCCGAGTTACTTCAGGCGTCCCACAAGTAAGCCACCTTGTCCCACTTCTTTTTACTTTATTTATAAACGATCTCCCTCTAGTCTTGACAAAGTCGCGTGTCCTTATGTACGCAGATGACGTTAAGTTATGCCTGCAATATAACGAAATTTCTAGCAGTTCAGACTTACAATCTGACCTAAACGATTTTCAAACATTGTGTTGTGAAAATCTTCTGGATTTAAATGGCAATAAGTGCAAAGTAATGACATTTTTTCGGGTGAACCCACAATATGCAACGTATTCGCTGGGTGGTTGCGCGTTGTCTAGAATTACGCATGTTGATTACCTTGGCGTCCTCCTTGACCCTAAACTTAAGTTTAGGAATTCGTCAAAGGAATTCGATGATCCCTATGTTACAAAGACTCTGTTTATTTCACTAGTCCGTCCAATCCTGGAGTACTGTTCTGCAGTTTGGAGTCCTCAGTATGGTGTACATATAGACCGGATAGAGTCTGTGCAAAAGAACTTTTTATTATTTGCCTTAACTGGAATGCAAGCCTTATTTTACCATCCTACTCTAGTACACTTCTCTTAATTAATCTACCATCCTTAGTAAACCGTAGAACGATGCTTGCCACAACTTTTATCTATAAACTTATTCACGGGGATGTGGAGAGTCCCGAGTTACTGGGTCGCATAAGCTTCTCTGTGCCTAATAGAATTACCAGGAACTATGTTCCTCTTACATTAAACATTTGTAGATCTAACTTTGATATGCATGAACCGTTTAGAGTACTGTGTAACGACTATAATAGACTATACCACATTATTTCTACTACCGACTCTTTTCCAAGCCTAAAATCATTAATTTTATCTTACCTAGCACAAAATTAGTATTAGTATTAGTCTCGTACGTATTTGTAATCTTAGTCTGTCCGCTTCTACATTGTGCTTTTAACTTCTCGCGATCTCGTTTTTACGCCTATTAGGCTCCGCGCGTAACAAGCACTGCTTGGTGTCGTAAGGGCCACTTGTTTGCGCTGATCATAGTGCATCAACGTCCGAATTTCAAATTATAATACTTACTATTTTAATTGTAATAATTATAATTTTAATTATTTACTTCATCTATAAATTTAAGAGTATTCCGAGAAACATTGTAATTAAATATAAAAATCAAAACAAAAACAATACTAAGAACCCAGAAAATCTAACAGAATTAAACAATATTGCACCAAATGAAAATACCCTACAATTAAACGAAAATACTACACAAACTAATATACCCACTCACATATACCCTAATATATCCGCCTGCGGACAGGCTTTTTTCTAATGGATGGGGAAGTAACATACCCACACCCACACCCACATATCTACCACATAAAGTAACATACACACACCCACATATCTACCACATAAACATATTTACATTACGCATTTGTCACACCCAAAATCATCGGCTCCCAAGAGTCGCCAATTAATATAAACATCCTCTTGAGTTATAAACAAATGAAAGAACCCCAAATTGTCGGCTCCCACGACTGACCAATTAATGTAAACATCCTCTTGCATTATAAACAAATGTCCCCAAACTCCAAAAAGCTTTTATCCCCCAATACTGTAAAATTGCAGACGCAGCCATGATACAATAACATAATAATTATAGAAACAAAATTTTACAAAAATAAATAAATGTTTTAAATAAATAAATAAATGTTCGAAATAAATAAATGTATAGTTTTATGAAATATATTGATAAATTTTTTGGTAAATAAATAAATACTTGGGAAAATGAATAAATAGTATAAATAAATAAATGGAATAAATAAAAAGATAAATAAATAATATATATATGATTGTTTTTTTTGTTTTATTTCTTTTCAGATTTATATTAGGGAAGATGGAACCGGTCACCAGCCGGTGGTGATCCCGTCATATGCCCTGCCACACGCCGCTCGTCAACTGGACTGGCTATCAACTATGCTGATAGCCGCCAGTTAAGGTCATAGGCTGCTCGTTGAATCCTATAAGATTTGTGTTCGAGCGTATAGCCTAGTATCCAGATCGACAAACGATTACGCTAGCGTAAAAACTTTAATCTTTCCAGTGCGACCAAAAGTTTGAGAGTTCATCAGATTTAAGCGTGCTACGGTACTGTCAATCAGCTGGGTTTGTTGACAAGCAGTTAAAATTCAAATATCGTATTTGCGGGAAAGAGCCTTTAAATGATATTATCAAAAACCTTGGTAAGACAAGTCTGCCGCTGTACAAAGAAATTAAAAAACAATACAATTTAAATTTAACAGTTAATTTTTTTAATTTACTGATAATTATTTGCTAATTTAAAGTTCATAGCTTCACTTTTATTGTGTTTTTTCGTACATTCTGGACCTAAAAAACATTTTGATCTGACAAGAGGCACCCCAGATAGTATTAATGTTATTTTGTCCTCACATGTAAACACCTGCAATTGACTTTTGTGAGTTTTTCCCTCCATTTCTTATAATGTTCAGTGAGAACCGCACGTCAAAAGATTAAATTTTTTAATCTTTTCGCTAGGGTTCACCCAAAGTTCATTTCCGCAGACTGGAAGCGCTCTGGAATTTTCTGGTATTTTTTTCGTCGATCAGGGGACCAACGTGAAAAAAGGCCCGACGAAAAGCGAACGCCAGCTGTTTGCCTCTCGCTCTCTCATGACTGGCGTACGGTCATAGAGTAAGAAACTATATAGAGGTTTCATTTGCTCTGCCCGGGCCTCTGCCAAAGCTCTGCTGAGAGCCATGTTCGAAGCTAACTTCTTCAAACTTCGGTTTCTCACCACTTCTAACATGTGCGAAGCACAAGCAATAGTATGGGGAATTCTCGCACCTATCCTTAGGAATAAGAGCGACCAGTGCAGCAATAAGAATTCACCATGGGCATGGATTCAGGCTCGATTCGAACATTTGCAAAACTCTCTTTTTTTCCGTTTTTCCCCTACGTGGCATCACTGGCAAAGTCACTCGAGAGCGCGGGCAGAGCAAATGACGGCTCTATACATTATTACTCTATGGTACGGTTTTCGTCGATCTGGATACTA